TATTAACTGAATCTACACCCTTCTCAAATCAGATTAAACAGCTTTGATTAAAGAATCCCAATTAATTCATTTTGAGGCAGATTAACTATTACATACTTTTCACAGGTAAGCAAATGCTTTTCTGGTTAAACAGGCTGAAAAGGAAATACCTCGTTTTGTAATAGCTGCTCCAGTTCATGCTCATATTTCATGATTATTGCAACAAGGTTCTGCCTGGATATTGGGGGGAAGAGGGTAGAAAAAAAAAAGAATCACCATTTAGTTATCACCATATGAAAACAGAAAAGAGTTCACTTTCTTATCTTACACTTGATATATTGGAAATGGACTGACCAGGATTGAACAGTGAGGTAAAGCCCTGTAAACTAACAACTAAACTAGACCACCAAGCACAAGCCAGGCAGACACACCACTCAGCAGAACTCACAAATCCTTTCCTAAAACAATGAACTAGAAGAAAAAAGCTGCTGGGGTCCTAGCTGTGGAAACAGATGTAGCAGCATGCCCTATTTTTTTAAATAGCTTTCTACATCAGCAAATCATAAGCAAAGTGTAGGGAGCATTTAGTTCCTCTCCAATTTTTTCCTAGCCTTTTCAAGAGCCAGATGGGTAACTCATGCTAAGTAGGAATGCAGTGCATGTGTCTGATTAAGATTGATGCCATTTTTCCTCTTTCTTACAGTTAAATTTCCCATCATTCTCTGTGTTAATGACCAATGTCCTTTTAATGGGCTGGGAAGGCCTTTCCCTCCCATCTCTAACTTCTAAAGATTATCTGACCACGTCTGAAGAACCAGGAATATGCACTTTCTTCAGCATGTACATTGTATACTGTATATTGAATACCCATGGATCTGTTAATATCATCTGTGTATACACACAGAATCATAAATTAATAGAAATTAAGGGCCAGACGGGACTCAAAAGATTATTGAGTCCAACCCCCCTGCTCTAGGAAGGAATACTGCTGAGATCAAATGATCCCAGCAAGGTGTCTATGCAGTCTTCTCTTGAAAACTCCCAGGGCTGGGGACTGTACCACCTCCTTGGGAAGTCTATTTCAGATTCTGGTCACCCTTTCCATAAAGAAGTTCTTCCTTGCATCCAACCTGAAACCAGCCTCTGACAGTTTATGGCCATTGCTCCTTGTCCTCCCCTGGAGCACCCTAATCAACAGTTTTTCTCCCAGCTCCCAATATTCATCCCTTACATACTTATAGACAGCCATCAAGTCCCCTCTCAGTCTTATTAATCAGGGTATTAACATAGAGATTTCAGTAACTGATGCAGGGTTTGGTTTTTATTTAGTTCTTTAAAAGTACTGCTATTTTATACCCAGTTGTGTTTTTAAAGGGAATAAAATGGAAGTTGCCATAATAAAATGTATGCATTATTATAATTACTATATATGAGATCATTAGAAACCCAGACCATCTTATTCTGGCAACAATACCTATTAGTTCAGTTACATTTATTGCTAGAGTTTTTATATGGTGAGGTAAAAGTGTGGGAGAACCACTCTTAGATGTTGGTTTGCCTTTCTGTGAGAATGTAGGTAGTTGCATGCTATACACATTACAGCATTCAATTTTTAATTTTCTAGAAGCAGCATTTTTTCTGGAGCAATTTCAGGTTTCCTCTTCAAAAGACCATTTTTCAATATGCTACGTATGGTTCTTTAAAAAAATCTTATCTAACTGCATGCATCAAGTCTGTCATTATGTCACATTTAAGGACAACTTGATGTTGAAGGTTATGGGCCAAGTTTAGCCCTGGTGTAATAGGTTTCAATTCTACTGACATTCAGGTTTTGTTTTGTTTTTTTTACTGTATGCAGGTCTTACAGTAAGGTGTATAAATGTAGGATCTTCCAGTAGACATACGGATTTGCTTTATTACAGTTACATGCTTGCTTGTGAGAGCTATCTGTTGATTTATGGAGCTAAGATCCTAGCTTGTTTTTGTTACTTCACCCTGTGCAAGCTCATGCCATCTTAAAAAGGTTATGAGCCTTTTCTTTCTTGACCAACACATTCTCTGGGACAAAAGCAGTACCTCTAATTATTATACTTCTGATTGTAGAACGGTTAGGCATATTCAAGACAGCTTTGATCAAACTACCTCAGTTACTAACAGAAGTTAAGACAGAGTGGGTGTGTCTACATGTGCAGCAGACTGCACAGTTGTTACTGTGCAGTCATTCAGTACTTGTTTACGCTAGTACTAAATGATGGTGTAGTAACTGGTGTTACTGCGCAGTCCCATCACTGTACAGTTATTTTTAGCTGCTACTGCTCATTGGTACAGTGACCTAGTATATCCTGTAGACGTGCTCAAGTGACTTGAACTTCATCATAGGCTGACTGCTCAAGTACACTCATGGTTCCAGCAAGGCTTATACGGACCATGCTGAAGCCCTTTTCACTGTATCTTTGCTACTAGCTGAGCTTAGATACACCTGCATCATGCTGCAATAATACCTCCAATTGCAGGGCAGTCAGCTAAAGATATAGCTTTCATGATCTTGCTCTCTGATCATTGTGACAGGGCCATTGTGACAGGGCCAGCTGAACAGAAATTGTTACAAATGGGCAAGAATGGAAACTGAGAAATAATGAACATGAGATTGTAAGACTAAGGGCTCACCTTCACTACAGAATAACAGGATTTATGACACAAGGGTGGCTGGTAATTCAAATCCCATCCACTCGCCACAACACTGTGATTATAGAGCCCTCATCCTTCACACCCATTAGAGAGGACTGGAGGGCTGTACTAGTGGGACAACAATAAAAATTAGACAGCTCTGTGGTAAACCAGATTACAACCCACCTGGTGGCTGTACATCTCTCTCTCAGTCTAGACACTAAACTGAAGCTGGTTTAGGTGAGGTATAAATTACAGGCTAAATTAGCATATTATGCAGTGCTGTTAACATAATCACGCTTACATCAAAAATGGTTTTGTCATGTAGGCACTCTCACATGAGCTAGGTTAACTCAAGAGCAACTAACATGAGTTATTTATCCTTGAGTTAACTATGCAGTAGAGCTATAGCCTGAAAGGTCTCTGCTAAATCTCCTTCTAGTACAGAGAGTGTGAAAATCTATTTACTAATGAGTGGCTAAAGAGCAAGATCAGGGAAAATACAAAGAGGGAGGGGAATTGCAGTATTATTTTTGAAAGTGCTGCTGATGTTTATTATTTTTATTTCTATAGTGCTTAAGGGATTCTACTCAGAAATCCATTGTGTTAGTTGGTATACATACATTTGGGGGGGGAGGGGGTTGAAAATACTGTCCTTGTCTCTAGACACTTATAATCTAAGAATAAAACAAGAGACGACAGATGGTGGAGCACAAGGATGTAATGAGACAGTTGCTTTGTTCTTCTGTTTCATTATTCTTTTCTAATGCTGGGAGTTAGGTCGTTCTAAATAGCACTGCAGTCAACATCCCACAGGATGATGGAGAAGGGGTGGGTAAATAGAGTGCTTCTGATATTTAGCAAGAGATCTTGTTTTTTTGCAAATGTGGCAGAAGGAAGAAATAATCAATTGATTATATGGGTAATGCAAATCTTGAGATGCATAGGAAGCACCTTTCACCATATGTTCTAATGGAAAAATTTTTTGACAATGAAAAAGGCCAGAAACTTTATATGACAAGAAACAAATAATTGGATAAATAATGATAATGATCTGGGGCAGAAGTTCAATAAAGCAGTTTAACCTAAATTAGTTCAGTCTGATACTACATCCATCCAGGTTGATCTTAAACTGGTTTCAGCCATTCTGAAAGTGGTTTATGTTCATTGACTTTCTGTTGTGTTACAGATTTGAACTGGTTTCTGATCACTTATACCAATATATGGTGTAATTTCTGTCCCTAGCCAATAGGCATACTTATGTTTTGGTTGGCATGAAGGATACAACTCCATTATATCAAGGAGAAAAACTTAAAATTTGGGGAGAGCTCTAAGAAACTAAGGGTGAAGTTTTTTACATTTGCACTTGTCCTTGTTGAATCTTTTGAGATTTTTTTTGGCCCAATCCTCTATTTTAAGGGTGGACTGCACTTAGGATGGAACAATCACAGGCACTGCCACAGGCTTAGGACCAATTGGCTAAGCAATAGCTCTGCAGAAAAGGACCTGGGGTTATAGTCGACAATAAGCTAGATATGAGTCAACAGTGTGCCCTTGTTGTGAAGACTGACAGCATACTGGGCTGCATTAGTAGGAGTGTTGCCACCAGATCAAGAGGAGTGATTATTCTGCTCCATTCTGCACTGATGAGGCCACATCTGGAGTACTGTGTCCAGTTTTGGTCCCCCCAATATAGAAAGGATGTGGATAAGTTGGAGAGAGCCCAGAGGAGGGCAATGAAAATGGTTGCGGGGTTGGGGCACATGGTGAAGAGAGGCTGAGGAAAGTGGGCTTATTTAGTCTGCACAAGAGAAGATGGAGGAAGGATCTGATAGATGCTTAAGTACCTGAAGTATGGTTCCAAAAAGGATGGAGCTAGACTGTTTTCAGTGGCGACAGATGACAGAATAAGGGGCAATGGTCTGAAGTTGCAGCAAAGGAGGTTTAGGTTGGATATTAGGAAAAACTCTCTTACTAGAAGGGTGGTAAAGCACTAGAATGGGTTACCTAGAAAGGTGGTGGAATTTCCATCCTTGGAGTTTTAAGTCCTGGCTCGACAGATCCCCAACTAGATCATTCCAGCCAGGGTTGGTCCTGCTTTGAGCAGGGGGTTGGATTAGATGACCTGAGGCCCTTTCCAACCCTAATTTTCTATGATTCTACATAGATTATTATTCATTTCTGCCACACAAGGGAAGGGGTCATAAATAAAAACTGTTGAGTTAATTCTGTTTCAATAGGTGCCATCTATGTACCCTCTTGGGCTCTGAAATTATGGTTCTAAAGGACATAGGTGCTGACTGCAAAAAAACACAGATATAACTGCAGCTGCTCCAATCTATTAATAGTCTTACCTGGATAGTTTCCAAATACATGGATATCCCAACAGCTGATTCAGATTAAACTGACTTTGGTCATCTTCATGCTGTAGGCAGAGGGACATGTGAAGTATTATAAAGCTGCTGGAATGAAACATATCTAAACAGCACAAATATTATTGGTGGTACATAAAGTCAATAGGTTTTAAGAATAAACCTTTCACATCTTTTTTTGTCTCTCCAGGGAGTAGGACAGTTCAACATTATCAGATTTTTTTCCTCCTCTTATTTTTGTCCAAATGAAAACAAGCAGTCAAATTAATGAGTTCACGGAGTATTTCAATTTTGATCAAACTACGTTTTTTTTTCATGGAAAATAGAGCTCCCTGCTTTTATAGCCAGCTCTACCCAACTTTTCACATGGAGGATTAAAATGCCTTCCCCCCTTTTCAGTTATTTGAATTTCAGAACCTTATTTGGGTGCAAACAAGCATTGAAATCACCTGACTCAGACTAGGCAGCTTATTTTAAGCTGCCTAAACCTGAGTCTGGTGTCAGGTTCTGCTGCCTGCAGGTGTTCACCTAGGCAGCTGGAGGTGAATTAGGAAGGGAGGAAGAGAAGGGGTACTGATGGGATATGGGGGGGGTTGGTGTGTGTGTGTGTGGGGGGAGTGTTAAAACAACAGCACAGCCCTAGTGGCGGGGCTTTCCCAGCCCCAAATCTATGCTATGAACATGTGCAGGCATTCATTAGGCAGAGTTAACCCATTTTAGTTCAGGTAAACCAAGGCCAACCTAAAATTAATTCACCTCCTGAGATGAATTAATTTAGATCGGGCATTCCATTTTTTGGGCAGTTTAAATTCCGGATTGCCTACATGGCTAGGCATTTAGATTAACATAACCTTGCTTAGATTGATCAAAATATAATGCTTGTATTTTCCCCTTTGTTATCTGTATTGCAGTAACACCAGTTGAGAATCTGGGCACTGCTGGTCTAGGCATTGTACAGACAAGCAATAATGTCATAGTCCCTGTCCCTAAGAGCCTATTCTCTCAAAAAATAGGAGCTGCAACAAAAAGAGGAGACCAAAACAGGGCAGCATGGAGAAAACAAACGTCCCCAAATAGGGTTTCTTATAATTACTTTAAGCTCTCCCTAGTCCTCTCTTTTGAAGCTACAAAAATATCTGAGTTCCTTTCTGCAGTGTACTGAAGCTTGAACTTCACATTTCATTATACTGAAGCAACTAGGAGTAGAAGAGGCAAATCATTTAGACTTTTTGTTTATATTTAAGAGTGCAAGTCCAAGTTTTCAGCTGGCTGAATCTCTGTAAACCTGTGGTTAGCAAAATATGGACTCCAAAACAGATCCAGACTGCCAACTGATTGTATCCAGTCCACAGCTACCCCTGCAGTGCTCCACATGGGGTTAAGGCCCATGCACTCCTGTCTGGGGGGCTCATGCCATGCTCCTGCCCTGTGCCCATCAACAGCTCACCCCAGCCCTAGCCAGTGTGCACAGCTTCCCAGCGTGCCTGCTCCTGCCACTACTGCAGCTGTACAAGCTTCCCCCACCTCCAGAAGTTCCTTCTCCTCCTCCCCCTCCTGTGCTGCTCCAGGCAGGGGCAAGCTGCAGCCTTGTGTGTCTGCTTGTTCAGTGTGTGGGTCTCCAGGTACAGCCCTGAGCCACCTTCTACCTGCTCTGCCTGCCTGACACCATGAGCAGCCACCTGCAGATAGCTGAGTGGTTGGAAGGTGTCCAGGAGCTTCAGCTGCAGTCCCACCCACTGGATTAGGAACTGCTCCACTGTAGCTTCCCTGCCAACTGGAGCAGTGCAGCAGGGTCAGGAAGAGGTGCTCCTGGAGGCAGGGGGAGTCAAGTAATACCTGGGTGACTGCAAGAGCAGCCCCACTAGGAAGCTGTGTGTGCTGGCCAAAGCTGGGGTTGTTGGTAGTCATGGGGTGGGTGCAGGCAAGAGCAAGGTGAAGGCTGCCTTGGGTAGGAGTGGTGAGCAGCTGTGGGCCAGAAGAGGGAGGGGGTCTCCTGCACTTGCACTTGCACTTGGATTGCCCCTCCACCCCCACAGCTCCTGGGACCTAATGCACATGCAGGCCCCATCCACACACATGTACACCCAACCCCCACCTCCCACCACCATTAGATACCAGAATAAGACTATTTTGAGCTGTTATGCAATCACCTCTATATACACAGCTAACCCCCCCCACCATTAATCAGCACAAAAATATTTTTTGAAATTAAAAGTATGGTATAATCGATGTTAGAGTGTAACATTTTTTTATGTATAATTTGTTAAAATGATATCCTCTGAAAAATTGTGTGTGCGGCTCTCGACAGTTCACCAAAACTCATTAAGTGGCCTGTCAACTGAAATAATTGCCCATCCCTGCTCTAAACTCTAGTGTTGCTATCTCATTAAAAAGTGCAAGAATTATTTAAGGTTGAGGAAGGTGCACTGCCCTCCGCCACCCATTTCTGAGACCCATACATACTGTTCTTTCTTACAGAAACCATCATGCGGCTTGATAGTGACTTCAACGATTTTAACCTCTACTTTAACACCCAATAATAAACCTTAGTTTACTGCTGCCTTATTTCAGCTGATGACACCTGCTGATACTTTGCTTATCTGTTTAGAATAGTGGAGCCTCTGAGCTAGGTCTTCCTTCTCTTTATATTTCACTCCACCTTTGTTTCTTCATATCTTCAGAAGCCTTTAACTCCTTTCCTTCTACTAGGCATCTGCCTTCCTGCTCCTCCCCCCCACCCCTTCCTCATTGCTGCTCATTCCATTGAGAAGTGAGGATCTGATCTCTGGTAGTGGTTGTACTTCTGCAACACATACTGTAGCACTCCTGTCACTTGTCAGATCTTGAAATGCCCTGAGGTACCACTTGCATATAATGAAGTGCTGCTCCTGGGAAAGAAACTATGCAGACCACTGCATGACTGCATTCGGCACCACTGTCAAGATATTCTCATTCTCATTACCATTCTGATATTCTCATTCTCTTCCAAAGTACAAGCTCCACAACTCTGAACCCAAGCAACAAGCAAGGAATCTTTCTAGTTCCTGTGCCCGTATGCTGGGTAACAGGAACATCCCTCTTCCCACCAAGCCAGCACCATTCTTAGACAGAGCAGCAGTAAAGCACCTGCACCTAAATTCTTACTGGAGAACCAATGTTTTAAAAATAAGTTTTCCTCATAGGTGAGGAGCATGCACATTCTGCAAAGCCAGAATACACTTTAAAAACATCACTGTTTGACTTTGTCTCATTGTACAATGCTTATAGATTCATAGACATTAGGGGCTGGAAGGGACTTCACAAGATCATCGAGTCCAGCCTCCCTACCATAGGCAGGGAGTCTGTGGGGTCAAATGACCCCCACAAGATAAGCATCCAAATGCCATTTGAATGAGTCCAGAGTAGGTTCTTCTACCACCTGTGGGGGGAGTCTGTTCCAGACCCTGGACACTCGGACCATAAAGAAGTTTTTCCTTATGTCCAGTCTAAATTGGCTTTCCAGAAGTTTGCGGCCATTAGACCTTGTTTTCCCTTGGGGAGCCCTGGTGAACAACTACTCTCCCAGATCCTGGTGCACCCCTCACTTATGTACTTATAGGCTGCCACCAAGTCCTCCCGAGCCTTCTCTTCTCCAGGCTGAAGAGTCCCATGTCCCTCAGCTTCTCCTCAGGCATGCTCTCTTGGCCTTTGATCATGCAGGTGGCTCTCCTCTGGACTCTCTCAAACTTATCCACATCCCTTCTGAAGTGAGGGGCCCAAAACTGGACACAGTACTCCAGTTGCAGCCTCACTAAGGATGAGTAGAGTGGAAGGATGATGTCCCTGGTTTTGCTTGAGATGCATCGGTAGATGCATGCCAGAGTTTGGTTTGCTTTGCCAGCCATGGCATTGCATTGGTGACTTATGTTCATCCTGTGGTCAATCAAGACCCCCAAGTCTCCTTCAGTCATGGTGCTAGTGAGCGTAGCACTGCCGAGCCTATAATATAAGTATGTTGCTGGTTTTTCCCCACCAAGATGGAGCGCCCTGCACTTCTCTGCATTGAATGCCATCAGGTTTTTGTCGTCCCACCTTGCAAGCCTGTTCAGGTATCCCCAACCTGTTCTCCAGTGTGACTGCCTTCCCCCATAGTTTAGTGTCATCCGTGAACTTTGCCAGTTCACATCTGATGCCTGAATCCAGATTATTAATAAAAACGTTCAAGAGTACTGGCCCGAGTACTGAGTCCTGAGGGACACCACTAGTCACCGTGCGCCATGTTGATTTGCTTCCATCAAGCAGTACATTTTAGGTCCAACCCCGGATCCAGTTCCCCAGCCATTGGACCATGAGATGGTTGAGGCCACAGTTTTCCTGCTTAGTCATAAGGACATCATGGGTGACCAAGTCAAAGGCCTTCTTGAAATCCAGATATAATACATCAACATTGTCTCCCTTGTCCAGGCAATGTGTCACCTGGTCACAGGAGGAAACGAGGTTGGTCAGGCAAGACCTTCCAGCAACAAAGCCATGTTGGCTGGGACTCAGAAAGATGCCTTCCATTAGCCTGCTGCTGATGGAATCCTTGATAATTTTCTCCAGAATCTTTCCCTGTCTTGTGCCCTGTTGTGCGAGAAACTTATCAGAGTCAGGGGAGAGGTGGCGGGACGCCATGCCAACAGCTGATCGCAGTGAAAGTGAAACTGCTCCAGCCACCGCGGTTGAAGATCAAAGGAAAAACCTGCGGTGGAGCCAGGAGGAGCTGGGAATGGCTCCCACGTCCACCTGGGCATGCTTTATAAAAGCATGCTGAGGGTGATTGGCTGGGCAGGCAGCCAATGCCGGCAGAAAAGACCCAGCCAGAAGGAAGCTCCAACAGTGTCCCCGGCCGGCCCGGAGGGTCCAGAGAATCCAGACGATTCGGAGGAGAAGGCTTGGTGGCTCCCCTCAGAAGGGGAGCACAAAGGGAATGCTGGGCCAGCGAGAGTGCAAGGAGTCACTGACAGACCCAGTGTGGACCAAGGCTGGCAGCTGCAGTGACTGGGATGCCGGCGAACACAATGAGGATGGCACC